AAAAACCCCCCCGGCCCCATAGAGACCCCCCCAGCCCCACAGATCCCACCCCAAACCCTGCAGGTGCTCCCCCAAACCCTACAGGCACCTTCTCCAGATGTTCCCCACAACCTCCCAGCCCCACAAGTACAATGTGTCCGGCGGCGCCGCGCTAAAATGTGTCTGGGCGGCGCCGCGCTTAAATGTGCCCAGGCGGCGCCTGCTTAAATGTGTCCGGGCGGCGCCGCGCTAAAATGTGTCTGGGCGGCGGCGCGCTAAAATGCCTCCCTAACCCTAACCCTAACCCTAACCCTGCATTTCCAGGCATGCTCTGGGCACCCAACATGGCCTCCCGGAAGCCTGGTGCCGGAAAACTATATTTACCAGCATTCCTTGGACAGCCGGAACAGCCAATCACGGGCCGAGTTTTCAAGAATTACATTTACCAGCACGCACTGTAACCCTAGCCCTTAACGCCTTTACAAAAAAGCCTCAAGCCCTAACCCTAAAAATCCTCGAAAACCCTACAGACATAACCCAAAATATTTACCACACTAAACACCTGAAGACCTATGCCTAAAACTCCTACCCAATAAATTAAGACGTTCAAATCCCAAGCCCACAAAATTAAGACGTTCAAATCCCAAGCCCAAAAAATAGGACTCTCAAAACCTAAACCCAAAAACTAAAACCTAAAAACCCAAAAACCTAAACCCAAAAACGCTCCAAACACTAATCCAAAAAAATAAGACACTCAAAGCACTAACACAAAATATTAAGATGCAAAACCCTAACGCAAAAAATTAAGATGCTCCAAACCCTAACCCAAAAAATTAGGACACTCCAACCCTAACCCTGGAGAACCTAACCGAAAAAATAAATAAATAAATAAATAAATAAATAAATAAATAAATAAAATAAAATTTTAAAACCCTAACCCTAAATAATTGACCAAAAAGAAAACCCTAAGACCCTAACCCTAAAAAACCTTTCAACACTACAACCCATAAAATCTAAAACCCTAACACAGTAACCCTGAAAAACTTAAAACCTTAACCCCCAAATCCCTAAAATACTAACCGTAAAAATCCAAACCTAAACAACTTAAAATCCTAAACATAAACCCTGAGAATACTTACCCTGAAACCCAACCCTAGTGCCCTACCCCTGAAACCTTAAAAGCGTCAATCAATCTTTGGAAAATAACATAGGCTCAGGAGAGGATCTCACTACGCTTACCCTGACTCTGACCCTTACCCTGACCCTAACCCTAACCCTAACCCCTAACCCTAACCCTAACCCTAACCCTAACCCTAACCCAACCCTACCCCTAACCCTAACCCTAACCCTAACCCTAACCCTAACCCTAACCCTAACCCCTAACCCTACCCCCCTAACCTACCCCAACCCCCTAATGATAACCCGCCTAACCCTAACCCTAACCGAACCCTAACCCTGGTTCCCCCCTAAAACCCGACCGCACCCCAACCCCTCAGTCCCCCCCCGTCCCGCCCACACCCCCGCAAATGCGTCCCCCCGGCAACCGCACCCCGCACACTTGGTTCCCCCCTCATTTTGGTTCCCCCCCGGTGCGCCCCGCAAATGCGTCCCCCCCGGCAACCGCACCCCCACACTTGGTTTTCCCCTCATTTTGGTTCCCCCCAACCCTTGGGGTCCCCCCAAGCCCCATGGACCACACCCCCCTTGGTGCCCCCCCACAATTTTGTACCCCCCGCCGTCCTACCCGTGCCCGCAGCAGCCGCTCGCGTTCCGCCAGTGCCTCCCGCACCCGACGCTGCATCTCGGCCAGGTGGAGGCAGGCGCTGGGGGGGGGGAATAAATTGGGGGGGGCCAATTTGGGGGGTTCTGGGGGCATTTGTGGGGCTGGGGGCGCATTTAGGGGGCGGAGGGGACTGGTTCTCATCTGTAGGACTCGGCGTTGAGCCCCCCCGGGGGCAGCTGCAGGGCCAGGATGCCTGGGGGGTGCGGGGGGGGGCATGTCAGCACCCCCCAGACCGAAACCCCAAAACCGCTGCCGTTGACCCCAAAATCGCCGCTGTTGACCCCAAGGTGGCCGCTGGTGACGCCGGTAGGGCCACCGGGCGCCCCGCGGGCCACTGGGAGCGGAAGACGGGCATGAAGCTGCCGGTGGACGGCGGCCACGCTAAAATGCTAGGTCAGCCGCGGGTTGGGGCTTTGGGGGGGCACCCCATAGGGTCACAACCCCCCCAAAACCCCCCCGGCCCCATAGAGACCCCCCCCAGCCCCACAGATCCCACCCCAAACCCTGCAGGTGCTCCCCCAAACCCTACAGGCACCTTCTCCAGATGTTCCCCACAACCTCCCAGCCCCACAAGTACAATGTGTCCGGGCGGCGCCGCGCTAAAATGTGTCTGGGCGGCGCGCGCTAAATGTGCCCAGGCGGCGCCGTGCTTAAATGTGTCCGGGCGGCGCCGCGCTAAAATGTTCTGGGCGGCGGCGCGCAAAATGTGCCCTAACCCTAACCCTAACCCTAACCCTGCATTTCCAGGCATGCTCTGCACCAACATGGCTTGCAGCCTTGCCGGAACAGAATCACGGGCCAGTTTTCAAGAACATTTACCAGCAATGTAACCCTAGCCTTCGCCTTTAAAAAGCCTCAAGCCCTAAAAATCCTCGACCTACAGTATTTACCACACTAAACACCTAAGACCTATGCCTAAAACTCCTCACCCAAATTAAGACGTTCCAATCCCAAGCCACGACGTTCAAATCCCAAGCAAAAAATAGGCTCAAAACCTAAACCCAAAAACTAAAACCTAAAAACCAAAAACCTAAACCCAAAAACGCTCCAAACACTCCAAAAGACACTCAAAGCACTAACACAAGTGCTAAAACCCTACGCAATTAAGACAAACCCTAACCCAAAAAATTAGGACACTCCAAACCCTAACCCTGGAGAACCTAACCGAAAAAATAAATAAATAAATAAATAAATAAATAAATAAAAATAAAATTTTAAAACCCTAACCCTAAATAATTGACCAAAAAAAAACCCTAAGACCCTAACCCTAAAAAACTTTCAACATACAACCCATAAACTCTAAAACCCTAACACAGTAACCCTGAAAAACTTAAAACCTTAACCCCCAAATCCCTAAAATACTAACCGTTAAAAATCCAAACCTAAACAACTTAAAATCCTAAACATAAACCCTGAGAATACTTACCCTGAAACCCAACCCTAGTGCCCTACCCCTGAAACCTTAAAAGCGTCAATCAATCTTTGGAAAATAACATAGGCTCAGGAGAGGATCTCACTACGCTTACCCTGACTCTGACCCTTACCCTGACCCTAACCCTAACCCTAACCCTAACCCTAACCCTAACCCTAACCCTAACCCTACCCTACCCCTAACCCTACCCTAACCCTAACCCTAACCCTAACCCTAACCCTAACCCTAACCCTAACCCTACCCCCCTAACACTACCCCTAACCCCCTAATGATAACCCTAGCCCTAACCCTAACGAACCCTAACCCTAAACCAAAACCCTAACCCTAACCCTAACCCCCTGGCAACCGCACCCCGCACACTTGGTTCCCCCCTCATTTTGGTTCCCCCCCCCCCCCCCTTGGGTTCCCCTCAAGCCCCATGGACCCCCTCGGTGCTCCCCGCAAATGCGTCCCCCCGGCAACCGCACCCCGCACACTTGGTTCCCCCCTCATTTTGGTTCCCCCCCGGTGCGCCCCGCAAATGCGTCCCCCCGGCAACCGCACCCCGCACACTTGGTTCCCCCCTCATTTTGGTTCCCCCCCCCGGTGCGCCCCGCAAATGCGTCCCCCCGGCAACCGCACCCCGCACACTTGGTTCCCCCCTCATTTTGGTTCCCCCCCGGTGCGCCCCGCAAATGCGTCCCCCCGGCAACCGCACCCCGCACACTTGGTTTTCCCCTCATTTTGGTTCCCCCCAACCCTTGGGGTCCCCCCAAGCCCCATGGACCACACCCCCCTTGGTGCCCCCCCACAATTTTGTACCCCCCGCCGTCCTACCCGTGCCCGCAGCAGCCGCTCGCGTTCCGCCAGTGCCTCCCGCACCCGACGCTGCATCTCGGCCAGGTGGAGGCAGGCGCTGGGGGGGGGGGAATAAATTGGGGGGGGGCAATTTGGGGGGTTCTGGGGGCATTTGTGGGGCTGGGGGCGCATTTAGGGGGCGGAGGGGACTGGTTCTCATCTGTAGGACTCGGCGTTGAGCCCCCCCGGGGGCAGCTGCAGGGCCAGGATGCCTGGGGGGGTGCGGGGGGGGGCATGTCAGCACCCCCCAGACCGAAACCCCAAAACCGCTGCCGTTGACCCCAAAATCGCCGCTGTTGACCCCAAGGTGGCCGCTGGTGACGCCGGTAGGGCCACCGGGCGCCCCGCGGGCCACTGGGAGCGGAAGACGGGCATGAAGCTGCCGGTGGACGGCGGCCACGCTAAAATGCTAGGTCAGCCGCGGGTTGGGGCTTTGGGGGGGCACCCCATAGGGTCACAACCCCCCCAAAACCCCCCCGGCCCCATAGAGACCCCCCCCAGCCCCACAGATCCCACCCCAAACCCTGCAGGTGCTCCCCCAAACCCTACAGGCACCTTCTCCAGATGTTCCCCACAACCTCCCAGCCCCACAAGTACAATGTGTCCGGGCGGCGCCGCGCTAAAATGTGTCTGGGCGGCGCCGCGCTTAAATGTGCCCAGGCGGCGCCGTGCTTAAATGTGTCCGGGCGGCGCCGCGCTAAAATGTGTCTGGGCGGCGGCGCGCTAAAATGTGCCCTAACCCTAACCCTAACCCTAACCCTGCATTTCCAGGCATGCTCTGGGCACCCAACATGGCCTCCCGGAAGCCTGGTGCCGGAAAACTATATTTACCAGCATTCCTTGGACAGCCGGAACAGCCAATCACGGGCCGAGTTTTCAAGAATTACATTTACCAGCACGCACTGTAACCCTA